AAAAATAATGTGATCAACTCCTTTCACATCTGTTCATTAAATGAAAAAGAAAAAAAATTGTTTGAAAAGAAACAGGAAGCATATGCTTAATATCACTTAAAAAACCCTAGCCATCATAAGGTTAACATCAAATCACAAATGCAAAACAGCAATTATTATATTTACTCAAAAAAAAAATTTAAGTTTACTAGCTTTTTAGGTCTCCAATTGAAACTTGCATTTTTTTCAGGGTTCAATCTATGCTGGCACATTGTCTTGATAAGATTCTTTCATCAGATGCTATTGTAAGAGAGGCTGGCTGAGTCCACATTTGTTTACATTTATTAAAAATAGTTGTCATGTGTTTATATAGCTCCTTTGATCCAGAAAAATCCCTGAATGCTTTGCAAGTTATGTTTAAAAGGGCGACTTCCTCCACCCTGAACAGAAACCATGTTGGGACCAGGGCATGGCAGCAGATTAAAAATGCATAGAAATATCCAAGTCATTCCTCCTCACCCCCTCAAAGCACCATCAATTTTCCATCAGCTACAGAACAGTTACTGGAACCATGTGATTTAGACTTTAGGAGGAAAAAGCAGTGAAAAGACCATGTTTAATATATTTTCATGGGCTTTCCTTTGCTTTGCAAATGGAGAAGCAGTGATACCTCCTGCACAAAGCCTAGGGCTGGCAATATCTCAGACGTACCTACTGTTCCCAGTTTTGGGGATCTCACTCCAGAGAAGACAGAGATCAGCCTGGCGGAGCCAGGGGGGAATAGAAGGAAGGATGGAGGGAGAGCACTTGCAGACTTGTGGAGAAGGGCAGAGGGAGTTGTTTGTTTAAAAGACAGAAGGCTGAGGTGAAACATGGTTAAGTCTTCAAGCCACGTGAAAGGTTGCTGAGAAGGGGAAAGGAATAAACCTGTCCATGGGGACAGGAGAAGTCATGAACTTGTGCTGTAACAAGGGAGATTTGGTGAAACATTAGGCAGTAATTCTGGATGTCAGGAAGGGTCAAATGTTGGAATAGATGTCTGCAGAGACTCTGGAATTGCTATAATGGTAGGGTTTTTTGAGACTGGATTAGACATAAATGTCAGGGGGGGTTTAGAATTTGTTCCTGTCTCTGGGACAGATGGGCCAGAAAGTCCCTCCTGGTTCTGTCTTCTGACTTTCTGCTGTGGTGTCACGTATGGTCAGGTGAGTCCTGCTTAGATGGATAAACCAAGCCATGTTAAAAATGATTTTGTGATCTCCTTGCAAAGTCCTCACAAGCAAAACCAGAACAGAAATTTCCCCAGAGGGTTGCATGCGTGTTTGTTTATTTTTCAGTCCTCACGTGCTCCCAAATCATCAAGGTGCTTCAGCAGTGCCTCCAGCACAGAGGACTTGAATCCTGTAATTGGATTCAGCAGGGTCTGTTCACAAAGCCTATGCCTGGGGCCCCACTTTTTGGGAAAGTTTTGCACATTCTAATGATGGTAAGACAATGTATGACTAATGCTCTGATTTGAAAAACTGCTCTATTATCTGATCAAAAGTACAAGCTCATGAATATGATACTGCAGGTCGTTTGGCTAAAAGAGATCTAGAGTCTTCCAAATTTTAAAGCAATCCCATACACAGAAGCAAAAAATAGAGGTATGAACAGTGGAGCTAGTGGTTGCCTGTTCACCACAGATCATGTGGAACATTTTAATAAAGACATAAAAGACTGCAACTACAGAATATCCTGGGCTGGCAAGAGAAGGAGTGATAATAATTGAGATGATTATCCCTGAGATCTGTGATTCATTTTCATTATTCTCTAGGTACATTGCAGCAATGATCACAACCTCCCTGAGGACAATGGAAACTTTCCAGTTGAGTTCAGGGGACTCTGCTGCTGCTTTCATCTTTAGGGAAGGTCTGAGGGTCAGTGAGGTCCTACATGCACATGCTCAGAGGGAGTTTGGAGAAGTAATCTCCTGACACTAGAGCCACCTTTAAGGTCAGGTTGTAATCCAACCTGACTGTCCAGGGCCCCTCTGTAACCCCCAGGAGGAGAAAGACCCAGAGCAAGAGTAAGTATCCACTGGAGATCTGTACAGGAATGAAGTGGATCACCTTCTGGAGAGGTTTGTCTCCCCATTTGCTACAGAAACAGCCTAGTAGCAAACTTGGAGATTTTACAGGGAGTTCTGCAGCTTTTGGTAAAAAGCTGTCATTCTTTTTGGGTATCTCTAAGCTACCTTGGTGGTCGGCTAGGATGCTGGAAGGCAGGTTGTATTTAAGAAAATGTCTTACATGGATAAACTGTGATTCATTTGCTATTAGCCTGCTGTGTACACAGTAATGAAAACACACTCTTCCTCTTTTGTAAAGCACTTAAGATTTATATTTTTTAAAACAAATGACCCCACCTAACAATAGTTCTCTTAACAAGGAAGCCTTTATAGAAATCTAATGTCTTGAAAACAGTGAATGACTGAGGAGAAGAGTGGTCAAAACACTTCTAGTAGTTGACTAGAAAATTGAAATATCCTACAGAAACAGAGAGTGTTGATTTAAGGCTGCTTTAGGAATCCCTTAGCTGTAGTTAGCTGTTGAATGGGCTTGTGATTTTTCATGGGTTCTCTGGGTCCCCCACCAGGCATTTCACACAATACTTCCCTGAGGTGCAGAAAAGCAGTTTGCACAAGGAACATTTTAATCTCACTGGAGGATCAAGCCTATAGAAGGTGTCAGGAGCAGGATACACCCGAATTGCAAGTCTAAATGCATTTTGGCAGTGTTTCTTAAAATTAAATTGAAAACCAGACCCTTCTTGCAGATTAAAATTTAATGTAGGGCTAAATGGTGTCATTCTGTGAAGTGATAAACAGTAAGCAAAGTTGAGTACAAGAACCTACCCATACTCACCTTAAGAAAAACTGATACGGGGGAAAAAACCCTGAAATTGTGATTCCCACTGCCAGTGTTGTCAGATCTGTGCAGCACAGCATCACTCAACAGGATAAATGAGATCTGGAGCATAGCTGCATTGCTGTTGAATGACTCAGATCATGTAGTACCTAGTTTTGTCAGAAGCATGTTTTAATGATGCTTTATATTCACCGTGGGAAGGCCATTCCTACTTGAGGTTCCGTGTATTGCAGGAGCTTGGATAGACACTGCCTAATCTGGTATCATTCTTACCATCCTTAACTGCTCAGAGAACCTGGACAAATTTTAAGCAGAGGCATTAGTTTATCCCAGATCAACTCAATGTATTAAGTGACTGCAGCAGGTTTGATGCAATATAGCAGAAGCCCTAAAGCTCCGTGTCTTGTATCATCAATTCAAGACATAAACCAGCCACTCACCATGGGAATTTAGAGAAGAGCTTTCTCTGGCAAGGCCTTGATTCCAGAATTCTATATTTACAGCTCGTTCCTCTGGAATGAGCACTGCTTCTCACTTTCAAAACCTAAATACTGGTTAGATGGATTCTCTGCTCCCATGAAGCAATTCCCATGTTATTAATTCTAGACTGCCCTTTTAACTCTAATCCATTGCATACTACTTAAGATCACTTCCAGCTACAGAACAACTATCCCAACCAGATGATGTTGTGAGGGTGTAAAAGATGGGGGAAGAAATGAAATCAATTATGCCAAAACTCAGGTTGAAGTGTAATGTACAGTCATTGCCTATTGGACTTGATGTTGACCCATGTGTGTGTTTACCAGTGCCCTCTTCTGGGTGGACTCTGATCTTCTCACAGCTTGACTCAACACACTTGAAGCATTTGAGCTAGAAGCTTTCTTCTTATCGCTTATATAGAAAAAGACAAAAAGCCTTCAGTGCTACTAATTTCTATTTCTGTGCATGAATCTTCAGCAAGGTATTATTCCTTTTATCTGATATTATACAAGACACAGCTTTTTTCTTCCAAGGTCAAGATTTCAGATGTTAATAAATATTCTAGCTAATATTTATAAGACTGCATATCTTCTTAGCCCATTAAAAAATTATTTGATGGTCATTTTTAGTGCCTCCAACTCCCTGTCATGGAAGATTTAAAAAGTAACAAAGATAATCTGCAAGTACTAGTGTCACATCTTGTTTTCAGGGGAACTTGTCCTTTTCCTCTTTGTCCTCCACCTAAGTGCCTTGGTTTTAAGCTCAGAATCCACCCTGTGCAGTCTGCATGTTCAGTTGTGCTGCTCTGTGACAACTGATGGATTATGGATCATCTGATAATGGATGCAATGGAAGCATTTTATGAAATGGAGATTACAGCTTGAAACTTCCAAATCAATTGTAAATGGACCTTTTTGACCTTCAGTGTCACAGGAATCATGGTGAACTCCAACCTGCCCATTCAAATCAAAGGTCTAACTCAAGCTACAATCAATAAGTGACAGCACCACTAATGAGGCAAATCGATGGACAGGGAAACTTCACACTGGGTCTAGTTTTGGCACTGTGATTTGATCCAAAATGTCTTGAAGCCAGGAAAATAAACTCAGCTGGGTGATCTCCTGTTCTCAAGATTATCAGCTGTGTAGGGGGATCTTGGGAAATTCTTTATGGTTTTATGGAAATTTTTTATGGAGAAGGAGATGTCTTGTGGCCCCTCCTGGGCTTAGTATTCTGTCCACAGTAGGTAAGACACAAAACATTTTGAGACATTTGGTAGCAAGAAGGTGCCTAAGAATGGTGTTGTCCTGGGTCAGCACAAAGGGACATCTGTCACAGTCTCTCATGCTGGCCAACAGTGAAAGCTTAAAAAAAAAACAAGTGACATAAACTAGATACATCTTCTGTTATATTCTTCCAGCAGCCAGGAGCTGAAGCACAACCTGAGTCAGAGCTGTTTCCAGACCATGGCACTTACCAGCTGCAGGGGATCCATCCGGAATGTCCAATGTGTGCAAATAAAATATTAATTGTGGTCATCACTGCTGTTGCTATTACCACGTAGGCTGACAGCTCACGGAGTAGAGATAAAAGTTCTCCTGTTTAATCTCCTTCTCTTGTGTTCTCTTTTAGCACCACCACGTTGCCTTCCTATATCAGGATAACCAATGGCTACATCACAGTCAAACCTCCCATTTGGATTTCCAACCGGCGGGATCAGAGGCCACGTTCAGAGCACCCAGCCCAGCCTCAGCCTGCAAGCTCAGCTTCAGACAGCATTTTGTGGCCATCAGTAACTTCTCTCTGTGTGGCCATAGCTTCATTTCTCCTGAATCTACTGCAGCCTTCTTGACCATGTTAGTATTATGTGCAATCCCTTGGAACAGAGAAGAGAGATAATTTATGAAAGAATTGGAGGTTAAGACAAACAATTACAAACTGGACCTTCTCAGTGAATCAGTAGTGCCTTCTAGCTGATTTGGTCTCTTTGCCCAGATACATTTTGAAACTCTAAAGCTTTATTGTAACACTGACTTACATCTTCTTTTTGTAGAAGGATCTTTATTTCCCATAGTGCTATGGGGTTTTGTAAAATATACATGTTCATATAAAGAAAAGGAAAAAAAGGAAAAAGAAAAATGTATTTATTCAACTGGTAAACTTATTTTTTCTTGTTGTATATGTTAATAACATCCCTATTAATCAGTAGCGATGGTGAAACAGATAAATTAATATTTTCTATATTTGTTTTCTAACTGACAACTCTGCAAATGTCTGAACTGACACCAAATGAATAGCTGCTTTTTTTAACCCTTACTTTTTACCAAAACTGTTCAATAAGTACGTATCTGCTAAACTTCTTTATTTTACTTTTTAAAATCTCATTAGCATAGCTTACACTGAATAAAGCAGATCCTGCTGTCTGTGGCCCATGCCCATTAAACAAATACATGCATTCTTAACTCAAGTTAGCTGCTACAACCTAAAAAACAACCTAAAATGTATTTTTATTTGGCTTATCAAGTCATTAGTCAAGATAACCCTAAGTGTCCCTGTTGTCTTTGACTCAACTATTTAAATTCTTTGGAAAATACCAATTTCCCTCTTTGCTCTGGGATTAATTCATTAGCTAATGCAAATCAAGACACCTTTTTCTTAATTAAAAAAAAAAAATAATAATTGCATTTGAAGTCTAGATTAATCCCACTGGAATTATTTTCTTCTCTCCTTTGTCTTAGTTCAACACAAGACTACGACCTTTCCCACAGTACATGAAAACAGAACTTGGTCTGTCTGTAGGGTATAAAGATGTGGTGTCCTGCTAATCTAGAGAGTTTTTTTGCAACTGTTGTGTTCATGCAGATGGACAACCTGGAGAGCAAAAAAAAATAATGTACATATTCCTCCTTATCTTGTTATTATGATACTTAGAGCTGTTTTCTCCTTGCTGACGTATGATTTGGTCAAAACCTGTTCCAGGCCACAGGAACCAAATTAACCCCCATGTGATGGAGATGTACAGAACATCTTTCTGTTCACTTAGATGGAGGATGTTCACATACCTCTGCTGACTTAGATGGAAAAGTCATGAACCCTTATACTCACTGAAAAATTTGCTCCCTCTCCAAGCAGCTACTTCTCATTAAAGCAATAGACAACATCTGTGAGGAAAAAAAAACCAACAACTGCTACATTTATTAATGCATGTGGGTGATGCAAAATGCCTTTGGATACAATCGTTTCTAAGTCATCTACAAACAAAAAAAAAATCAAAAATATGGGCCAACAAAAATCTTCGAAGACTCAAAGCTCAGAAAAATACAATGCAAACTTTTCCTTAATAAAAAGCAGTGCTTTTTCACCTTGAAATTATACCAGGTAATATTGATTATAATGATTATAATAATATTAATAAAAGTCTGACTGAAAACAGTCGTATCACTTTCCCACCAGCTCTACAGTATGGGATCCAGGTTTAGAGAAATAATTCCATGCAATGTTAAAGTTGCTGCAGTGAGAGATGGTTTAGGATTCATAGTTTGTCATATTACCAGTTATTTCAGAAAAATAGGTGAGGAAACAACTACACTACAAAAGGCATATAATTGCACTTGAAACCATGATGAAATATTGAGCTTTTCTATCATGAATCCCAACCCACTGCCTTGCAAAGGCCAGGGAGAATTCATATAACTTCTTTCTGACCTCCAGCCTTTGCTCTATTTTTTTAATTTTTTTTTGGACAGAAAGTTGTGAAGATTTGTGGTCAGTTTAAGTGGGTACAGCAGACAGTGCTATAAGCTGCCCCTATTTTTTTTCCAAGCACAATAGTTGATAAGGCTGAACAGAAAACTTTGAGCTTTGCCCCAGATGTGAGCTTTGAGCACACCCTGTGCATACTTTTTTATTGTGGATTTTGGCTAGCAGAAGATTAAAGATGTTAGTTTTGGACAGAAGCCATTCACCTTGCATAATATTTATTGCACGGAGCTGGATATTGGAAACTTATTTTGAGAACTTTCATTTTAGTTTTATTTGAGCTATTACCCTAGAAATGCCTTCATTTGAATATAATGGCTTAACAGCCCTTCAAACTCAACCTTAATGCATTAAAAAAGATGATTGGTTCCTCAGCTGTATTTGAGACAGAGAGCAGAGCTGAATTTAAAAAGTATTACTCACCAAAATGGAACTGGAAATAAGGCAGGCAAACCTTAAGGGTGGTGATAAGTTACATAGTAAAAGTGAACATCCAACAAAACAAAACCCATCGAGGTTTATTTACTGTAGCTGGATCAAATCCAGAAATTATTCTGTGGTACCATCCCAGAAATAATTCC